AATGCTGTCATCCCTCCAGGTCCAGCGTCGCCCCACCAGCATCGAGTGGGATGGCTGCGATCCCCAGAAGCTCTACACCCTGGTTCTCACAGACCCAGATGCTCCCAGTAGGAAGGACCCGAAGTTCAGGTAATGGGGTGGGCAGCTCCCTGTTTTGCCTGGGGAAAATGGGGCATCGCTCTCGGTCTGAGCAGAGGCTTAGAAAGAGGTCCTGAGGGTGTGCTCTGCCTAAGGTGTAGCAGTGAGTCTGTGGCTCAGGATAGAAACAGTGTCCTTGTATCTCTCCTTGAGACAGGGACAGCATGAGGAGGAGCAGCTGCTTTTGCCAGGGGTGTTTGGAAGTCTGTTATAGCATGGAGAAGCAGAGGATCTGCTGCTGGCTTTAATGTGGCGCGTGTCTGAGTTGGAATTAGGTCTCTTTGTGCTACCAGTGGAGTCTTAAACCTGGGATCAGCTCACCTTTCTCAAATCAGGCTTGGAAACATGTGGAATACCTACTCTTAGGGGTCAGGCTCTGGGTTTCCTGGAGCTACAAGGCAGGATGACTGAGCTGGTTTTGACAGGCTCTGCATCCCAAAGGAAGCTGGACCTGCTGTAGGACTGGTGCTCTTCAGGTTTGGCAAACCAGGGGCGGCAGCTGTTAGATTCAATTTCCCCAACCTGACAGCCTTATGGAAAAGCAGCATCTTGGAGCAAAGAAAGGTCTTATCTGGGGCTGAATGTTGTCTGATTGATTTTTTTGCCTTCTCCTTTCAGAGAATGGCACCACTTCCTGGTTACCAACATGAAAGGCAACGATGTGGGGAGCGGCACTGTGCTGTCTGATTATGTTGGCTCAGGACCTCCCAAAGGAACAGGTCGGTACCTGGCTGCAGCTGAGTGTGATGGAACACGGTGCGCAGGGGAGGGCGCCAGCTTTGTGCGTGCTGCAGGAGCAGCCCACGCAGGACTGCCTGCAGCTCCTCGTAGCCACGGCCAGCGCAAGCACGTATCGCCACCATCCCTTTGCTGTGCTCTTCTGCCTGCAGTTGGTAGTCAGCATTGCCTGGCAGGGGGGAAGCACTGGTCTAGGCAGGACACGAGCTATTTAAGCATATCTAGTGCATCTTCTCTAAGCTCCTTTAGCTCCATTTTGGATCTTGGAGAACACAGGCATCTGTTTCTGGGCGCACCTGGGGTTGCTTTAGAGCAAACCTTACACCGGGGAATCACAGGTGACTGGTACTTGTAACACTGTCTCCTCCCCGCAGGGCTGCACCGCTACGTGTGGCTGGTGTACGAGCAGCCGAAACAGCTGAGCTGCAACGAGCCCATCCTCTCTAATCGCTCTGGTGACAAACGGGGGAAGTTCAAGGTGGCTTCTTTCCGCAGCAAGTATGAGCTGGGGGTGCCGGTGGCTGGCACTTGCTACCAGGCGGAGTGGGATGACTATGTGCCGAAGCTCTATGAGCAGCTCTCAGGAAAGTAGGCCGAGGGGACCTGAAGAAGCACTGTGCAGCACCGCTGGAGACCAGGCTGGTCAAAGCATGTCGCTGTCATTTTGTTTGATTAGTGAGTCTAACCTGACTGCTTCTGCCCTGACCGCTGGAACTCTGGCCCTGTCGCTGTCCCTGGCCTGAACCTGCTTCTGTGTCAGCGTGGTCCAGACCTGTGCTGTGCTTCAGCTGACTCCCATAGGTGCAGGCAATCCCTAGCTAGACGAGCTGCTGACAAGGTGTCCCTGTAAGGGCCACCCCCTCCAGGCTGACCTGCTCAAGGGAAACTGAAGCCTTTGTGAATTAGTGTCACTTCAAGATGTCTCTGCTGTTCTGAAATGGTATTATGTGGAGGTGGTATGGGTACAGAACCACTTCTGGGGTGGTGCTGGCTGTGTAGTCTCACCTTTGCAGAACAGGAGAGGAGATGAGTGTCTAAGGGAAACACCTTTTTTTTTTTAAATTTCATTTTTATGGCCAAGTATTCAGCCAGTGCCCCACTTCACTGAAGTGAACACTAAAGCAGTGAAGGGATAGCTGGCAGAAGGAGGCAGGGAAGCTGGTTTATAGCACTACTTTCTGTTCTCTGTTGCCACTCAAAGCTGAGAGACCACTTCGTTTTGTTCAAGTTCTGTTGTGACCTGATGTTAACGTGCTGTTTGCTCACAGTGCAATTAAAAACTTACCAAGGTGGATGGTGTGGTGGTCTTCTTGGGGGACGAAGGCAGTACTTACAGGAGCACCTCCCTCCGGCAGTGCCGTCTGAAACACTTCTTGCCTTGGTACCCCCAGCCAAACTCAACTGGTCACATCTTTGTGTCCGATGGCCCACCTCGTGACAAATGCAGCTCCGCTCACCCCAAGGTGCAGCTTGCCCTGCAGAACAGCAGCCCTGCGGAACAGCAGCCGCGCTCCCGCCGCAGGCTGTGGTTGACCACCGAGGGGCTGTAGCACAGCTGGGCACGTCCCAGAGTGGGGCTCAGACTGAGCCACAGAGGCTGCTCCCCTGACAGGTACGTGGCACGGTAAATCCTGTCCCCTTCATGGGGCATCCTTGGGAAGGCAGCTGTCTCCCTGCTTTAAAGTCATTTCCCAAAATCCCTTAGCAACACGCATCCTATGCACCGTTCGTGTCCCTGCTGTAGGTAGATGGTGGATTGAAGCTTAAAAGTTTGCCCTGTGACAGCAACCTCCTGTAGCTCAAAGAGAGCGAGTGCACAGAGTGGGGTGTCCATCGGGGAGGCTGCTGCTTTTTCCAGGGTGTTTCTGAAGCCCCTAATAACCAAGGTAATTTATCCCCTAAAAACTTCCCGTCACCTCTCGCCATCCTTGCAGCTGATGGGGCCGCCTGTGCTCACGGATCTGCCCTGTGCCGTGGCCAGCCGCGGGGCAGCAGCGCCAGCTGTTAACAAGCCCTTCTGCCAGCCTCCCTGCGGCTGAGGGAGCCCAGTGCCTTTAGCCCACCTTTGGCAGCTGGCAGCAGAGCCGGTCCCTGGCTGCCCCCAGGGATCTCCCTGCACCCCAAGCTTCCGGCATGGCACTCCCTGGAGGCCTCCGTCCCTCCACCCAGCAGGTCCTGCTCTGTAGGAGCCCACCCCACCACAGCTGAACCCTGACTGCAGGTTTCAGCTCCTGGGAGGAGCACCACCAGCTTTACTGACCTGAAGCCACTTCCCAGCCCAGCTGCAGGCTCCCACCTGTTTTCCCAATCCTCCCACAGCTTGCAGGGAGGTCTGGTGGGGTCTCCTAAGAACTTACAGCAGAAAATGAATCTTTGGTCCAGTCTGACATCTTTAAAAGGTTAAAAAAGACGGAGCCAAGGGAATTCTACTTCATGGAAGTAGAAGCCTTCTCCCTTTTTTGAACTACTTCCTTTCTCAAAGGTCTACCACCTGCATGGTCTGAGAAATAGGTATCAAAAACCTCAACACGCCGCAGCAAGGCTCTGTGAAAGTCACAGCCACTCAAAGACAGGTGCTTGGTATCTGCCCCGAGGTAGTTCTTCCAACTCAGCCATTAAAACATTTAAACAGGGTTGATGGTTTTTCAGGAAAACATCCCCAACTGCTCAAGACCAAGCCTGAGCCTATCAGGCGGGCGGAGGCACAGTGAACTTCACTGTGCTCAGCAAGGCCTGAGCCCTCTTGGGACTTCTCAGGCTGGAAGCAGGACATAAAAAAAATGAGCCTCAAAACCTCGACTATGGATAAAACCAGGTTTGCAATAAAGCCCAGAGGTTGCTCCAGTGGGACAGCCCCCCCCATCAGGCACCCACCCCGGGGGGCTGGTGGAGCAGAACGGGTCACCTCCCCTGCTCCCACCTTCCCACAATGACACAGCGAGGCGTTGTGATGAACACTTTTATTTACAAATATAATTAAAAGCTCTGACAGTTATTCATGCTCTTCCTTGGAACCTGAAAAATGTTTTTGTTGTTTTGTTGGGTTTTTTTTTTGTGGATTTTTTTGTTTGATTTTTTTTTTTTTAAAGTGCATGCAAAAGAAGTAAAGCCTTTTTTTTTTATCTTTTTATTGTAAGAAAATACACAGTTTGAAAGTGTGAATAATGCAATATTTATGACCAAGATCATGGGGTTGAGGGTGGACTTGGGGGAGGAACAAAACAAAACAAAACAAAAAAAGAAAAAAAAAAAAAAGGGCTGGGGATGATCCAACAGACAGTGTTGAACTGCAAGTACTGAACCGGAGAGTGGGCGGGTGGTTGGGAGCAGGAGGGAAGGGGGAAAGAAGTAAAAAAATTTTTGATCAGAGAAACAGTTAAAATACAATATGAAAATAAGTAAAAGCTCTCCTTAAATTCCTTCTATACACAAAATACACGATTTGACAAAGCCCAATTTGTGCTACTGGGATCCTGTGGGCTCGTTTTAAGTGTATTCAACATTCTCTGCGACAGCAGAAAATGATTATGATACAATCAAGAATATGCCGAGGGCCGAGGCCTCGTCCCCGCCCGGCCCGGCATGGTTCTTCTAAAAATCACCAGATCTTCGCCCCGTCCCTCCCCACCCCCAAAAAAGTAATAATATGTCACCACTGATATGTACAGCACGATTAAGTTTTTTTTTTTCTGTAAAATGTATCAAATTTTTTCAATCTTTAATAAAATTTTTTTATTATTTAATTATTCCTGATGAATAAATACCAAAAAAATAAAAATAAAATAAAATTATGCAGCAGCTAGTTCAGGTAAGGCTGCGGATTTCGTCTCTCTCCCCCTGGGTTTGTATATATCATTTGATTATTATTTTTTTTTTTTGCTTGTACTTTCATTGATTGGTGGTAAAATGAGTGATTGCTCAAAAGCAACATACATCCACTGTTTTTTTTTTTTTTCTCCATTAAAATCGTCTCCAAAGTTTTCACTGAAACATTTTTAATCATTGCACAGAGACATCAATACTGTGACATACTATGGAAAAGACCGCCAGGAGCTGTCCTGCCCCGGGATTTGACGCAGGGGGAAAGGGGCCCCTGATGGAGTAAGAATATACAGGCACTAGTCCGACACGATGTCAGTAAGAGAGACAGAAAGAGAGAGAGCACGCCCGTTAACATGGGGAATGTTGGGTTTGCAAGTTTTATCGTCATTTTGTTTGCTTTTTGTCTTTTTGCTTTGTTTCTAAATGGCAAAGAAATTTAATCTCATCTATAGTCCTCCTTGGGATATTCTAACGTGACCAAATTCCCAAAGCCCATTCGCAAGCTCTCCATGTCAAACGTTTCAATCTCTCGCTCCTGCCTTTCCAACAGAAACTTTATCCGCTCGCTGCGTTCCTTCTGGAGGGCGGCTAGCTCCTCTTCGATCTGAAAGAAGCACAGTCAGCAGCCCCCTCGCAGAGCACGGCCGCCCCGGGCTGCGGCAGCTCCCGACGCGCGGTGCCGCCCCTGTGTCCGAGGCGAGATCCGCACCGGTAACCAGGTCCCCCCCACCCCAGCAGCCCACCCAAAACGTACCTTTTGTTCAAGGTGTGCCCTGCGCAGTGACACCCGTTGCTCCAGCTTCTGGAGTTCTCTTTCGTGCTGTGCTTCTGTCTGCATCTTAATTTTGCTCTGGTACGCGTTGAGCAGCTCCATCTCCTGCTGGAGCTGCAGTCTCAGGGCTTGGCATTCTGCTTCTTGGGCCTCGTCCAGCCGTAGCTGTAAGATCATCGGGAAAACAGCAATCAAACCTCCACTAGTAACTTCTCTGCTCCGGTGCCAGCGACACGCCGCTCTCCCTTCTCAAAGCCTGGGAGCCTCTAGCGTTTGCAGCAGAACGGGAAAGCAGGAAGGGCTCCATAAACCAGCTGCCTGCCCATTGGCACGGAGGCAGAAGCCTCGGAGAAGATCCAATTCTAAAACCCCAGCGTGCCAGGGGCAGCAGGGAAAGGATGCGCGTTCTGCGGGATGCTTATTACAAGAGGGAAAGTGCCACCTGATGCATTACGTAGAACAGCTGTTGCAAGCACAGCTGCATCGCTCACCATCCCGCGGTGGGACGGGGAGAACACAGCGTGCTGCGAGGACTGGTGGCCCAACGGCACCCCACCTCCGTGAGGGACCCCCTGCCCAGGGACCGCAGGTGCTGGGCGCTGCACCTACCGCTTGTGAGGCCATCATCTCGTTGATGCTCTGCTCATACTGCTCTGCCAGGATGGCGAGCTTCCTCGTCTGCTCGTCCTTCAGACTCTTCAAAATTGTCTTGTGCTCACTCTTTGGAGTTACTTCCAGCTGGTGATTCTTCAGTGCTTTGTACTGCTTAGTTTGCACTTTGCATGTGTCCTGGAACTGCTTTTTGATCTGCATTTCCATAGCCTGCCAAGGAAGGAACGATGTGAAGAGCATGAAGAGCTTTGGGAATGGAGAGGTCTTAGTACATCCAAACAGGTGGGTTGGTGAGAGACAGGCACGGTTCCCCCATGCTCTGCGCTGTCTCCTGTCCCTGCAGGCGGGTGGGCAGGGCGTGCTCTGTGCCATCTAATGAGCGGCGTCAGCTCAGGCCCTGCTTCAGCACTGGGC